AATTTGCCACTAAATCAAAAAGTGACAAATTGCCGTGAGATTGTGTTGGTTTATCAGATGTTTTGTCGTCATATGATGCTGAGATTGTATTAAAGAGTTTCACAGATTTATAAAAAAGCAGAAAAAGCAAACAGATCAGAGCAACAGCTTTTATCATTGCACTGAAGATAACAGATAGTAATTAATAAAAGAAGAACTACTGCATTGTACATTAGCCTACAGTACAGTACAGTGCAAAAGTTTGAGGTCAGTATGTTTTTTTTTATTTTTTTTTAGAATTGATTATATTCAGAAAGCACAATAAAGTGATTCAAAATTACATCTGAAGAGTGCCGTCTGAAATTTCCATCGAAAATCAACATTTTTTCTCAGCCTCCTTTGTTTATGTTGAGATATTTTTCTTTAAAGGCCAGGAAAATAACTTATTCTTTGCCAATAAGGTGATATTACTAAACCTACACACAGGAGCCTGATGAAAATGCTCATTTTAGAGGAAAGTTTCAGACAGCATTTAGAGGTTTTTGCATCTAAACTCTTCATTTGTAATATTATAAAAGTTAAATTCTTTTTTTTTTTATTCTGACTTGAAAGATTTTAAAGCGGCACAAACACTGAAACTAATTACAACATTTTTATACTGATTTAGTTATAACATTAAAAATAATAATGATTAGATTTCTGCAATCTGAAGCACAAGAATAATGCTGACAATTCAGCTTTGCATCAGATAAATAATTTACATTTTAATAAACAGTTGAAGTCAGAATTAGCCCCATTGTTTTTATTTTACCTAATTTCTGTTTAACAGAGATAGAAAAAAATTCAACACATTTCTAAACATAATAGTTTAAATAACTCATTTCTAATAACTGATTTATTTTATCTTTAATGACAGTAAATAATATTTGACTAGATATTTTTCAAGGTGCTAGTATTCAGCTTAAAGTGACATTTAAAGGAATCATAATGTTTTCTGGAAAGTCCAACACATTTAAAGGCTTAACTAGGTTGATTAGATGAGTTAGGGTAATTAGGCAAATCTTTTTATAACAGTGGTTGTTCTGTAGACAATCGAAAAAAATATTGGTTGAGGGGGCTAATATTATTAGCCTTAAAATGGTTTAAAAATATTATGAACTGTTAATTATATAAAAATTATAAAACATTATATTAAAAATATTATAGATATTACTGTAAAAAAATCTTTGCTCTGTTAAACATCATTTGGGAAATATTTAAAAAAGAAAGAAAAATAAATCACTGGAGGGCAAATAATTATGACCACCTTTTCTTTTTAAAGTTAATGCAGCATTTTTGATTATTAGAGATTAAATAGAATCATACTGACCCCAAATCTGACCCGTAATGTACTGCAATGGAAAAATCAAAATTTATTGGTGTATAATCTGGAGTTTGGTTGCAAATTCCCAAATATATGAAGTTACAAAAATACAATCTGTTACCACAATACAAAATAAAACGAATAATACTCATCCAATCACTGCACCATTGCTCTGTGCGGAAGTCAGAAAAGGCATAAAAAATCCCATTTGAGGTATTTTCTAAACCGTCATTAAAAAAAAAGCAAACAAAAACAACAGTGAAGTTAAGAAAAAGTGCATAACAGTGGCATTTGAGTCAAGAAAAAACATTTTCAGTTAGTAGATAAGACATTTTATACACTAATAACGACGTAATAAGAATAATCACAGTTTTTTAATTATCCCACTCTCCCTCATGCGCTTTTAAGAACTTGAATAGTTCTTTAATACAAAAAAAATGCCACTAGAACACTGTTAGAATAGACAAACTGCTGCCTGCATACGGTATAATACTGTACTGAAGTGTAAAGTGATGTGAAAATGACCAGAGATGAACTGATGCTAACTCTGAAGGCTAGTTTCAGATATGCTAAGGGCTCGGTTTACTGTTTTTTGTTACTTAAAACACAATGAGTAGCACCATTGCTTGCTTGGCCAAACTACTTTGTATAAAGGCCTGTCAATCATGTGGCTAACTTTGAAATGTGGCTGTAAATCTGCAGTGTATAAAGTGGTCAAGTTAGTTTTGTGGCTTGGGGGGGCTTTCGCACCACCAAGTTCACCAGTTTTGCATGACGTCCCACTATTAGAGGAACACCCTTTTAGCCAAAACTCCGGATAATTGTTGCACAATATAGGGATGCTAACAATGAGGAAACACGTCTCAGATTAGACCATTAGCATCTTGCTAAAAATAGTTTCCTATTCCCTTAAGGTCTGCATGAACCGGAAGCTGCGACAGTTTTTTTTCGGATTGTAACAGTTCCTGGAGAAAGGGAATATTACATGAGAAAACAGTAGGCGTGGCTTGTTTTTCTACTGCGAGATGATTGGATGTAGTAAAATAGGCATTTTATACAGAAAGATCAGGGGCCTCATGTATCAACGCTGCGTACGCACAAAAACTTTGCGTACGCCAGGTTTCAAGCTCAGAATCGCTCACGTTTGGATTTACTAACAATGAACTGAACGTGGGAATGTGCGCAGGTTCACGGCAGCTTCATGGCTGGCGTACGCACATTTTTTGTGCGTGTCTGTTTTATTTCCATTGGCGACTCCTAGAGGCAGTTGTGTTAAATTCTTCTCTACAAAGTGTCTGATCCTTGCAATGGCAGCTGTGTGAGACGGGTTCATATAGTAGGTATGTAAGATTTCCATACCATACAGTTGACCAGCTAAACATTAAAGCACAATTTGCAGCAGTCGCCTGTTTTCCCAATGTAATCTGAGCCATCTACTGCACGCACATTGCTATAAAGACACTATCTGAAGATGAATTTGCATGCGTGAATCAGAAACATTTCCATTCAATAAATGTGCAAATAAAATATGATGCACAAACTTATTGATGATTCCTACTTGTCTTTCTCTTGATAAATAGTGGGCAAAATCTGATATGTAGCGGGGAAAAAAAGAAAGAATTCATTAGACGCTGGATTCGAGCCGAGTTTATGCTCGAACATGTCAGTACATGATCACATGCTTCTTATGAGGTGCGCCACTGAGACTGCGAATGATACTGCAACATTTTTCAGTTATAAACCACACTATTTCTTTTTTAAATGCACTCAGTGCGATGTTCAGACCCAACTGTGTTAACCGTATCAGCTAAACTCTCCCGCTCTATTTTTTTTCTTTTGTTGTTAATTCCGGAGAACAAACTTGCAAATAACACCGCTTTTCTCCGGTCTACCTCCGAAAGCAGCACCTCCAATTCACATTCTGTTCAAAGTTTCTCTTTTTGCTTGCTTTTGCCTTTGCTTTTTCGTTGGGTTTTGCCATTAGCATAGTCATTAGCATATTCATACGGGGGAGGAGGCAGGGAGGGGTTTTGTGCTCGTGCATCATGCGCTCAGTTTCACGTTCATTCAGATGTACAAAAGAATATGCGTGAGATTCGGCGTACGCAGTGTTTCATACATCTGAATTTTTTTCTGCGTACGCACATTTACAGCTTTGTGCGTACGCAATGTTTTAGTAAGATTTCCACGCAAGTCTTCGTACATGAGGCCCCAGGAGAAGGGTTTTGGGAGTGTAACATCTCTGACCTCTGTGGTTCCCCCTGATTGTCACCAGAGGTCGCAGTCACAGGACTACTAATCCAGTTTTACTACATTTCCCAGCATCCTTCTCGTCTGATTACCCTAGCACCTGAAAAGCCATTACAACCCTACCTTTAATTCCACTCATTGCAAAGTCTTGTTTTGCCCCGCATACGATTCTGAGCGATCACAATTCTGTAATCCTATGGCCTCTGCTCTGTTTAATGGGCCATTCCCTCAGCTGCCAGCCGCCTGTCTCGACCCATCGCCTGTTTACCGACTTCGAGTTTAAGTCTCTACTTAGTAATCCTTGTTTGTATCTGACCGTGCCTGTTCGATCATCCTCTTTTGATTTAATAAAGTTGCAATTGGTTCCACTCTCTGCTGACTTGTCTTTACAGGTAGAGTTATTGCAACCTAACAGACACCTCCTCCTCACCATTTCTGTTTGATTCTCAAAACTGACAGATGCTAATGGTCTAATCCGATTTAATAGTTTATGCTAAGCTAAGCTAAAAGTGTTTCCACCACACTCGAAGATCAGCTGAGAGGATTAAAAGCTGGTAAAATAGTTTCCCAGTGTTAATTTAACTCCATTAAAATAGACCCAGACCCCAAAAGGTGTTCCTGGAACTAAAATAACTCCCAGTTTCTGCACAAAAAAGTGCTTTCACCATTAGTTCTAGGAACTTTGGGAAAAGTTCCTTTAGTGCGAAAGCCCCTATACCATGCCTGTGTTTTCCATGGCATACATTCGCCTAATCAGAATACACTTACATCAATGGCAGTTCCTATTTTGCTGGGTGAGACCTTTAAAGGCCATCACTATAGACTATTTTAATGTGGTCATGTTATTGGCCCATGAACATTTCCTGCTAGTTATCAAACTATTTAATAACAGTAAAAAGAGGCAATTCAATCATAACTTCATGTTCAAAACTGCTACCATAACATCATTAACCAATATGTGGCTGTTTTTGGATTCTCAGAAGATATAGAAATGAAAAATGTACAACAGGAAATACGTTGGGACCATTGTTTTTGTTTACATCCCTAAAAAAGGAGTATAGCCAAAATCCTTCAATGTGTAGTTCTAGGAACTATCCAAAGGGTGTGAACGCCTCGCCCCTATGGTTAATATGTGAAATGTGGCCCTATGAGTTGGAATTCACTTGATTAACCAACTAAACCAGCTCGGAGCTGGTAATGACCGACCAGTTAAAGATGGTTTAGTTGGATTATCCAGCAAGTCTAGCCTGTCTTTGTAGATAAACAGTAAACACATGGTTGGTTGAGGTGGGAATGATGGGGAAAGCGCTACACTGGTGTCTTTAGTACTCTGCTATGTTGAGACAGATAAACTCCTGTATGCATTTCTTATACTGTTGTTCTGTGGGACTGCTGCTAGAATATTGACCTGGCTGGCCGAACGGGCCCTCCGACTCGCGCATCTCCTCATTCATCCGTGCCAGACGTAACCTGTCGAGACAGAAAAAGACACAGAACCATCAGACTTTGTACAATTTCATTCTTTTTTTTAGATTTAGATTTTTGATTGATTTCAAAAGTCTCACAATAAATTCACTTATTTGATCTAAAGCATAATTCAATTAAGTAAAGAATTCTGGTTATTTATTTCACAATGCAGTTAATACCTGAAAAAAGCTGAATTGTCTGTGAGATTCTTGAGAGATCATATTATAAATGTTGTATACATGGTTGTGCTGCTTGATTATTTTGAGGAAACTGAATCAAGATTTATTTGTAATGTAAATCTTTAACATTATTACTGTCCTTTCTGTCCCTTGTAATCAATTTAAAGCATCCTTGCTGAATAAAAGTATTAATCCACGTTGAAGTCAGAATTATTAGCCCCCCTGTATATATTTCCACAATTTCTGTTAAACGCAGAGAAGATTTTTTTCAGCACATTTCTGAACATAATAGTTTTAATAACTCATTTCTAATAACGGATTTATTTTATCTTTGCCATGATGACAGAACATAATATCTTACTAGATGTTTTTAAAGTTACAAGTATTCAGCATAGGATGAAATTTAGAGGCTTAACTAGGTTAATTAGGCAAGTTAGGGTAATAATTGTAATAATAATAATAGTTGTATAATGACAGTTCAGGCCTGTAGCCAGGGGGGTTCGGGTCGTTTGAAAGACCCACCCATCACTGACGAAGGTCAAGATTTTGTCCCATACATGAGCTCATTTGTCCTATTTTTGCTGCTATGCATTTTCATAAATAGTGAAAATAACCCATCGAAAAATGCTTTAAGATCAAGCAGAATCCTCTGTTGGCTGTCGCTTTGGTGTGACTTTAGCTAAAATATTTTGTGCAAGAAAACATACAATCTGACATAAGAGAAATCATCTTTCGCTACTGTATTGTTTTTAAATAGTGGAAACATTTTACAAGCAACTTTTATTCTAAATCTTGGACCTTCTTTTTGAAACAAAAAATTAGTAATAAAAAGGAGTGAAGCACCAAAAGCGGAACATATTAAAATTAATTAGGCTAGAAAAATTGTGAAGCTCTACATTATATTAATATTAATGCTATTATTGTGTTTAATTCTTTTTTATTTAAATGGACAAATTCTGACTGTGGAAAGAATATGCTGGACTGGTCATTATTTGCAGAATAAATAGCAATAGGCTAAAGTTTTTATTTTTCTCATGATAAATGATGTAATAAATTAGCATTTTAAAAATAAATATTCATTCATTCATTTTCTTGTCGGCTTAGTTCCTTTATTATTTATATATTATATATTTCTTTATTCTAAATCTTTAGGAGACATTTTTGGTACATTAAAAAAGTATGGTTATTATGATCAACCAATATTGTTACCAAAAGCTAATACAGCTGAAAATAGTGCTTAAAATGTCACTAAAATGCAGTGATTCATTTTCATAATTAAACTGAGGCGTATAACTGCAAGAAAGGTCCACTTTTGGAGGAAAAAGAACCACCCCTTTCACAAGGCTGGCTATGGGCCAGTAGTTTGTTCTGTAGACAATTGAAAAAAAAATATATAGCTTAAGGGGGCTAATAATATTGATGTTAAAATGGTTTTTTAAAAAAAAATATTCTAGATGAAAACATATTATAGGAAATACTGTGAAAAAAAAATAATTTCTCTGTTAAACTCAATCTGGGAAATATTAGAAAAAATAAAAATAAAGCTAATAATTTTAATTTCAATTGTACATATATGAATAAAAGTTTACACAAAACACACGGTGCAAAAATCCTAAGGTTTTTACGTACAAATGTTTAAACTTACAGAGTAACGATATCAGCGTTAGCCGCTTGAACCGCTATGCTCAGCGGGTCCTGTCCATCCTCATCCCCGTCGTTTTGAGTTGCTCCTCGTTTCAGAAACAAGCACACTTGCCTGGAAATAAAACAAATTGCTAATTTTATTATAAGTACTAATGCTAATAATTAGCTCCTATAACTGTTTACTCTACTAATTTACTAAAAAAAATTTTGCTGCCTGGTTAAGCTACTTATTTAAAATGAATTGAAACAACACAAATCTTCAAAGTTTGAAAAAATTCAAAGTTTTTTTTTGGGGACAACTTAATGAATGATCAATGATACACAGCAAAAAAAGTAAGCCTAGACACTATTTAGACTCAGAAACTGCCAGTTAATTTCACGAATAATTCTAAAGTAATATATGAAATTACAGATGAAATTTAGAAGCAAAACACACTCATGTTTATGAAAGCCTGAACTCACCCAGTGTGTCCTAAATAAGTGGCGTGATGCAGCGGGCCTCTTCCCCTGTGATCTCTCTGGTTCACATCAGCACTATTTTGCAGCAGAAACTCGCAGGCTATTAAAGAACCCTAGATGTAAAAAAAAAAAAAAATCCAGAGCAATAAGAATTTGCAACCTTAAACAGCAACACAGACGTCACTCTCAAGCAAAGTTTCTAGCACATTATGCTTAATGTCAAGCCCTGTACATACATATATATACATATACATACATACACTCACCGACCACTTTGTTAGATACACCTTATTAGCACCGGTTGGACCCCATTTTGACTTCAGAACTGGCTTAATCCTTTGTGGCATAGATTTAACAAGGTACTGGAAATATTACTCAGAGATATAGCTCCATATCGACTTGACAGCATCACGCAGTTGCTGCAGATTTGTCGGCTGCACATCCATGATGCCAATCTCCCGTTCCACCACATCCCAAAGGTGCTAAATTGGATTGAGATCTGGTGACTGTGTAGGCCATTTGAGTACTGTGAACTCATTGTCATGTTAAAGAAACCAGTCTGAGATGATTCATACTTTATGACATGGTGCGTTATCCTGCTGGAAGTAGCGAACTGTAGCTTCAGTTTCCTGCCTCTTTTCTTGTTCTGGTTCTACTCAGACCAGCCCATCTGGCACCAACAACCATGCAATGTTCAAATCACCTTTCTTACCCATTCTGTGCTCAGTTTGAACTGCAGCCGATCATCTTGACCATGTGTACATGTCTAAATGCAATGAGTTGCTGTCATGTGATTGGCTGATTAGGAATTGGCGTTAAAGAGCAGTTGGACAGGTGTACCTAATAAAGGGGCCAGTGAGTGTGCATATGTGTACACGACAATATTGTACAATTTCTGTAAATTCCATAATTTAATAGTTTAAATATTTTAATTTTAACATAGTAACATTTAATATGTTAAAGTTCTTTAAATGTGCTCATTCATATGTGATCATATTTCTCACTTTTATTTGTAACTTCAAAGCAAGTGTTTGAATAAATATTGACAAATATAAATAATAAATCAAAATATTTTCTCCAAAAATAGTATTTCTCCAAATAGAGTATTTCTAATTAGTGAATTGCATTGCGCTCTCTCACCCCAATCACAGCCTGAATGAGCGGGCTTTTCCCCTCGTCCTCTTCATTGACAGAGTTGACGTCGGCTCCGTGTGCCAGAGCTTCGGCCATAACAGGCAAATTGCGTGCCTGACAGGCCTTGTAGAGTAACGCTCCAGCATCCAGCTCTCTCGAGTCCTCAGGATCTGATGCTTCTGGCTCCAGTTCAGCCTCATTACTAGAGTCCTCAGACACCTCACACTCTAAACATCACAAAAACACACATGATCCATCTGCTATGGTAACACAGCATCAATCACACACACAGCGGTTCACACTCACCCTCCTCTGTGACGCTGTCCACCACAGACTCGAACACCAAGACGTCAGTGCTGCCGTCAGTGCTGCCTCCTAACCCACTGTCACTGCTCAGACCTGTAGGACCAACACAAGCCCAGCGCGGACACGTTACATTACACTCTAAAATCTAATAGCTTCCCTGACTCACATATATATTTTTTTAGCTTTACTCAGTAATTTAAAATACATATTTCATAAAAGGTTTTGTAAAGTTACAGTAACATGCAGGGTGAACATAACAATTTACTCAATTGTTTGAGTGACACTCAATCGAAATAAGCAAGTAACAACAAAAGATGCAATGACGTTATTATGCCAGTGAGCGGCAGCAGTGCATTCAAGCGTGACTAATGTGCAGGAAAAACGAAGAAGAAGAAGCGGCCGCCATTTAATAAAAAAAGAAAGCGAAAACGAGGCTGCAGTGGGAAGAAACCCGGAGGTAGAGGATCAGCATTGTAAACATTGCAACAACATGCTGATGCTTGGTTTGAAAGTGCAGATGTGGTGTAAACATCACTTTAATATCATTTAGTTAAGTTTAATTTAAACAATTAAACACATATTAGACATCAAACTAAATCACTAAATCATTTAAGAGTAATAAAGCTTAAAGCTCCTAGGCTTCAGTTCATGACACCAGGTAAACACCGTGGGGATGCTTCCCTGCTTTAGCCTATGTAACCCGGTGAGTGATAAAACAATGGCCGAAGTGTTGTCTGCTGTCCCAGTTCTGAAATTTTTTAAAATGTCCATTTCCCGCTAACATTTAAGCGCCGTTGAGCGCATTCTTAAACAACAGTGATTTGGCATTTTTAATTTTTATTTCAGTACCAAAATTTAGTATCATGACAAGTCTAATATAAAAAATCTTTTTATTAACTTGAGTTTGATAAATGGCATCTAAAATGTGTGTTTGGGAAAGAAAACGTTAGCTAACTAGTGCCATTTCCCTTAACTTAGCTAAAAATGAGGTCCGATATCTCTTTTTATTTTCATTATCCATTCAGAACAGACCTTAGGGTCACTCGGAAAGCGGTGATATTGTATATTTGTGTCACTTTCTCTTTGGTGATAAGACATACAGCCAGGTAGACAACAATATGCTATTGTCGACGCAGCTCTTGTTTGACTCCAGGCAACACATGCGGGTTTCTTCCCACCGCAGCTTTGCTTTCGCTTTAAAAATGGCGGCCACATGAAATCAGTCTACAGATGACAAGCCAGAAATCATTAGCTCAAAAAAGTGTAACAGTGTCATGAGAAATCGAGTCCCCACATGAGAATTGGGTCTGCCTATAGAACCGTGATTGATCCTATTGTTTCACTGGAGTTGTAATCGGTATAGATTGTAGCACTTGATTATAAAGTCCAGTATTACAACTATAAATTCTATGAACTCAAGTTATAATTTATATAATGTAAAAAGCACAACAATGACCATGTCATTTCACCATTATAATGACATTTATAAGCAAAAGTGCAAAAACAATGGCAAAAGAAAACACATAACAGCTGGAAAAAAGCAGGGATGCAGCAAAATTAAATTTCAGAAAATTCTGGATGCACTTCAACAAAACCGAAAATGTAATAATTAGTTATTATTTTTATTAAATAACAACATATAAATTTGTAGGACTTTTTAAATTGAACTCAATAACTTAACTATACAGATTTTAAAAAACATAAGCAAATTATGCAACCCATTTTTTTTGACAGTGAACATTATTTTATCAGAAAAGAATCACAATTGCAAGCGCACAATTACAAGTGCTTTACCGGCGCAGCGTAGACTTTTTAGCTAATATTCTCAGCGAAAAAAGGAAAAAATTTAAGGAAAAAAACACAAACAGCAAAGAAACAATAATAAACAAAAAGCAAAGCAAATAAAATAAAACTAAAACTTGTACAAAAAGTAAACTAAAACACAGAAAAAGGCTAAGCAGCAAAAGTAAACAATGAAAAAAAAAATCACAAAAGGGCAAAGAGATTCAAAACCAAATTAAATAAAAAACAAGTGAAATCAATAAAAAGCAAAAATGCAAAAGTATGCAAAAACAGCAGAGTATGAAACAAAAATAAAAACAAAACAGCAAAATGCAAAACACATCAAAACAAAAAAGCAAAACCCAAAGCAAAAAACAAACAATCAAATAAATAAAGAAAAACCAAATCAAATCCCGATGGAAAGCAAAGCAAAAACAGAAAAAGTAAATGAGCGTATGAAAGTAAATCTTCGCAGGCCAGAATAAAAACTTACTGCGAGGCCCTGAACCAGTGTCGAAATAGGAAAAGAGGTTGTCTAACTCATCCGGGCAGAAGAGCGATTCCCGTCTGAACTTTCTCTCCAGAGCAGCAGTTGCTAAAAGTGCAAAACAATTAAAATTTCAATGATGTGTCAGATAATTATACAATTAATTTAATTGAAAAATTTAATTATTCTATAATACTATTGCTTTATCAGCATGGTAATTTCAAAAAAGTCATTCATTCATTTTATAGTATTTGTATAGAGACAGATACAGTAAATGAATGAAACTGAGGCAACTGAGTCATGCACTTGGTCAATTAAATAAAACCATAGGAAATGAATGAAAAAAGCTTGATCGTGATTGGTCACCTGAGGACAGGGTTGCTGGAGATGCACTGCCTGGATCCTGCCTGTATTTGCGGTGTGTTTTGGGGACGGTTGTGGCACTGTTGTGCCTCCTGCACTTTCTGGAGTTCCAGCGCCGCTCAGATTTCCTCCCGCCGTTCACCACAACCTCACCCGTCATCATCTTCTTCAGAAACTTCTTCTCCACATACTTCGCCTTAATCCAGGCCTCCTTTTCTTGCCTTGAAAATTGAGGTGGTAATTGAACATTAGGGATGGGTATGGATTCAACTCGGTTAAAAATATTAACTGAAAAAAAAATGTATACAGCTGAAGTCGGAATATTTCGCCCACCTGTATACTTTTACCCAATTTCTGTTTAACGGAAAGATTTTTTTCAAAACATTTCTGAACGTAATAGTTTTAATAACTCATTCCTAATAACTGATTCATTATATATATATATATATATATATATATATATATATATATATATATATATATATATATATATATATATATATATATATATATATATATATATACAGTTGAAGTCAGAATTATTAGCCCCCTTTTGATTTTTTTTTCTCTTTTAAATATTATCAAAATGATGTTTAACAGAGCAAGGAAATTTTCACAGTATGTCTGATAATATTTTGTCTTCTGGAGAAAGTCTTATTTGTTTTATTTTGGCTAAAATGAAAGCAGTTATTAATTTTTTAAAACCAATTTTTGGGACAAAATTATTAGCCCCTTTAAGTTCATTTTTTTCCCAATAGTCTACAGAACAAACCATCGTTATACAATAACTTGCCTAATTACCCTAACCTGCCTAGTTAACCTAATTAACCTAGTTAAGCCTTAAAATGTCACTTTAAACTGTATAGAAGTGTCTTGAAAAATATCAAGTCAAATATTATTTACTGTCATCATGGCAAAGATAAAATAAATCAGTTATTAGAGATACGTTTTTAAAACTATTATGCTTAGAAATGTGCTGAAACAATCTTCCCTCCGTTAAACAGAAATTGGGGAAAAAAATAAACAGGGGCGCTAATAATTCAGGGGGGCTAATAATTCTGACTTCAACTGTATATATATATATATATATATATATATATATATATATATATATATATATATATATATATATATATATATATATATATATATATAATGTATGTAAAGTGCATCCGGAAAGTATTCACACCATTTCCCTTTTTTTACATTCCAAAATGGATTAAATTCATGTATTTTTTCAAAATTCTACACACAATACCCCATAATGACAATGTAAAAAAAACAGTTTTTAATTGTTGCAAATTTATAAAAAAAAAAAAAAAAAAGAAAAAAAAAGCTGAAAAATCACATGTACATCAGTATTCACAGCCTTTTTCAATACTTTGTTGATGCACCTTTGGCAGCAATTACAGCCTCAAGTCTTTTTGAATATGATGCCACAAGCTTGGCACACGTGTCTTTGGGAATTTTTGCCCATTCCTCTTTGCAGTGCCTCTCAAGCTCTATCAGGTTGGATGGGAAGCGACGGTGTACAGCCATTTTCAGACCTCTCTAGAGATGTTCTATAGGATTTAGGTCTGGGCCTTTGTCCTACTGGAAGATGAACCGTCACTCCAGTCGGAGATGAAGAGGCCTCTGAAGCAGGTTTTCATTCAGGATGTACATTGCTGCATTCATCTTTCCCTCTATCCTGACTAGTCTTCCATTTCCTGCTGCTGAAAAACATCCTCACAGCATGATGCTGCCACCACTATACTTCACAGTAGGGATGGCATTAGCCTGGTGACGAGCGGTGACTGGTCGTAACACCTGGCATTCACTCCAAAGAGTTCAATTTTAGTCTCATCAGACAATAGAATTTTGTTTCTTTTGGTCTGAGAGTCCTTCAGATGCTTTTCGCCAAATTCCAGGCGGAGAAGGGCTTCCCCCTGGCCACTCTATCATACAGGCCTGATTGGTGGATTGCTGCACAGATGGTTGTCCTTCTGTAAGGTTCATCTCTCTCCACAGAAGAACGCTGGAGCTCACAAAGAGTGACCATCGGGTTATTGATCACCTCTCTGACTAAGGCCCTTCTCCCCCGATCACTCAGCTTAGATGGTCGGCCAGCTCTAATAAGAGTCGTGGTGGTTCCAAACATCTTCCACTTACGGATGGTGGAGGCCACTGTGCTCATTGGCACTTTCAGGGCAACAGGAATTTTTCTGTAACCTTCCACAGCCTTGTGCCTTGAGACAATCCTGTAGAGACAATCTGCAGACAAATCCTTTGGCTTCATGCTTGGTTTGTGCTTTGACATGCACTGTGGACCTTATATAGACAGGTGTATGCCTTTTCAAATCATGTCCAATCAACAGAATTGACCACAGGTGAACTCCAATGAAGCTGCTAAAACATCTCAAGAATGATCAGTGGAAGCAGAATGTAGCTAAGCTCAATTTAGAGCTTCACGGCAAAAGCTGTGAATACTGCTGTACATGTGATTTTTCAGGTTTTTTGTTTTTAATCACTTGATTTTTAAAATCTTTTTTCACATTGTCATTATGGGGTATTGTGTGTAGAATTTTGAGAAAATTAATTAATTTAATCCATTTTGGAATAAGGCTGTGACAAAAAACAATTAGGAAAAAGTGAAGCGCTATGAATACTTTCTGGATGCATTATATATATAAAGTTGAAACCAGAATCCCCCAATATCTGTTTAAGGAAGAGATTTTATTCAACACATTTCTAACCATAACAGTTTTAATAACTCATTTGTAATAACTGATTTATTTTATCTTTGCCATGATGACAGTAAATAATATTTTACTCAATATTTTTCAAGACATTTCTATACAGCTTAAAGTGACATTTAAAGGCTTAACTAGGTTAATTAGGTTAGATAGGCAAGTTAGGGTAAATAGGCAGTTCTGTAGACTATCGATAAAATATATAACTGAAAGGGGCTAATAATTTTGTCTTTAAAATGGTGTTTAAAAAATGTAAAACTGCTTTCATTCTAGCCAAAATCAAACAAATACGACTTTTTCCAGAATAAAAAATATTATCAGACATGCTGTGAAAATTCCCTTGCTCTGTTAAACACCATCTGGGAAATATCTTTAAAAAAAAAGAAAGAAAAAAGAAAAAACAAAGGGGGCCTAATAATTCAGACTTCAACTGTATATATATATTTTGCTCAGCATACATGATTACACCCCTCACAAATCTCTCATTTAAATTAGTCAATTCTATAGGAAGCTTTACAACATTATAATCTGGAGCTTATCTAACAAAATAACTTATGATAACGGTCCAAAATTAAATTAGTACAATTACGTTTATTTGTTAGATAAAACTATTAAATAAAACATTTAAAAAGAGCAAAATTCTAGAAAAACAAACAATTATAAAATTTTGTTGAAATCTTGTAGGTTGTGTTTTTTTGCTTGAATTTAGATGTATTATCTTTCCATATCTAAAGATGTTCTGTGACTAAAATATTATTTTAATAAATATCTATTTTAAATAAATCTGTTTTTTTTAAATGCAACAAAATATATTACCCATATTCACTGAGAAATGCATAAAAAATATTAAATATAAACATATTTTCAAAATGGGGTGTACTCGATTATGTTGAGCACTGTATATATATATGCTCATCCCTGTTGAACGTTCAGGCTGATTAATAAAGAAAGCCACTAGTGTTTGTCATCATCATCATCATCAGTCACCTGGAGCTGTTGGGTGCTGGTTTCTTCAGGCCCTGCTCTTCACAGCTGCCTTCATAGATGTGGTTGATAATACTGTTCCCCAATTCACACATCAGCTGCATGAACACAAGAGACAGTGTCAGAGTGTGTTTGCTCATGTCACAGGGAAAAGGTCATTGAAGAGAGATTAGCAGGAGAACAGACCTTCAGTAACTCCGGTTCCCATGAGTCCAGAGTGAGAGAACGCACTTTTGAACAGTGAACTCCCAAACTCCTGACAACAAAAGCAAAAACACTAGTCAAATCATTGATCTCATTGCTGGAGCACACTTAAAATTCCTGTAAAATCAAAATACATTTTTTAGATGTTAGTATCAGTTAGATTTAAGAATTTCTATAAGCAAAACAGAGACAAAATTTACATTTAAAGGATATAAACCTGAAACCTAGAAACAGGTAAAGCTTGCAGTTTGTTACTTCTGAAGTTCCGCCTAAATGGATCAACGATTTTTTTGACATCTTCTCATACTTCAGTTTCTCATCAGATCTTCTGACCAATCAAATGCTCTCTAGTATCTGACATGCCCCGCCCCTTTCAAGACGTTTCTCATTTGCTTTTCATTTGATCTCAACCACTCTCACTGGCACAGCTGTGATAAAAACAATACGCTATTGGCTATTTTGTTTAAAGGGAAGGGGCTATCGTATGTCCCGCCATGTCTTCATGTTTCAGTTGAGATTACGTGAAACACTGAATAATAATTGCACATTTCAGAGGAGTTCACAAGACCTTTGAATATTTGAGTAAAACTATTATAGTTTTATTATAATAAACTGTTAATAATTTATACTTTTGAGCACTGGATGGAATATTAAGTATACACAAATATCCCTTCAACGCTGTCTGTTATCTTGGATACCCGTCACTGTGCATTTTGGGATTGCTTGCTTCTCTAAGTATGTATAAAATGCCAACATAATGGAATGTCATTGTACATGCAAGTGTGCATTAAATACATTTTCTAAAAACTTGTATTATAATTAAAATGACAAGAAATTAATTATTATATTATAAAAACTTTGATTATATTAATTGCAACGTATGCAGTTTTATTGATGCAAGTTTTGTGATAGTTAAATAATAATAATTATTATTATACTAATAATAATAACAATGATATCAATAATAATAATTTTAATATTAATTTTCTAATCAATTACAATATTAATAAATATTATTTGTGATTATTTAAAAAAATATGTGTAATATTTTATGTTTATTATTTTAAATATTATAATTCAATATAGCAGTTTTATTAATGCCAAACTGTTTTGCGATAGTTGAATAATAATAATCAATAATAATCAATAATAATACTTTTAATAATAATTTTCTACTAATAAATAAAAAAATATTATTTTAAAATATCTGTAATATTTCATGTTTATTATTTTACATATTATTATTAAACAAAAATATTATTATTAACATCTTTACAATTATTATTATTATTATTATTGTTTCCATAACTATTATTATTATTATTATTATTATTATTATTATTATAAAATTCTATTAAGCATTTTATTATAAAAATAAATGTTATTAATAATAACTTATTATTAAATAGTATACTAATAATAATTATTATAATCATAACAACAATAATAATGATAATGATTTTTACCAATAATAATAAGAACTAGTTTAATTTTATTTTATAACATTTATTATAAAGATTATTTATTATTTATTATATTGATTATTAAACAATACATATTATTGTAGCAATTTTTACAATTATTATTATTATTATTGTTGTTGTTGTTTACATACATATTATTATTATTATATTATTTTTAAAACATTTTATTCTAAATAATAACAACAATAATAATAATAATAATAACAATAATAATAATAATAATAACTATTATCATTTAATTGTATTGTAATAATAATAATAATAATAATTATTATTATTATTATTATTTATTATTATTAGTAATAGTAGTATTTAGTAATTACGTCAAATAATTGTGTAATTGAAAAACTCAAACAACAATAAAACAATTATAAAATAAATTACTATTATTATCAAGTTATAGGTAAATGTTTATGCTAAAAAGTATTAGTAGTATAAAAATATTCTTGTATTCTAATACCTACATTTTTTTCTTGTAGTCTACTAGGATTTTGTATAAAAAAATCTAAAATTGAATATTTACATTTCAAACATTTATAAAAAACAATAAAATAAACAAACAGCATTCTAACCAGGGGCAAGTGTCTGACCTGATCTGCTGATGTTCTCCAAGGTTTTTTCACCGTTCAGTAAAAACCGAAGTCAGCACTGGGACGACTTGAGCGTCTCCAGAGAACATGTGCTCTCTCAATAAAAGTGCATTCAGTTCACTACAACAGTCTACTTCCTGGCAACCCAGTTTACATGGAGAACATGGTGAGATGGCTTAAACAGCAGCACAGCTCATGCTTTAACACAGATAGGTCACAATCTGACACCCAACAGGGAAAAAGTGGAACATCCATAGGAATGCTACAATGCGTTACAGCTTTTAAAAAATGATCCCCTTGCTTCTTAAACAAAATGAGCATGGCTTTACTGAAAACATTCTCATCTTTTTAACTTAAAATAAGTATAACATATATTTTACATAATCTGACATATATTAAGTAAACATTGCATTTATTATAATTTTTATATGTATTATTATTATTATTATTATTATTAGTAGTAGTAGTAGTAGTATTTTATTATCAATTATATAAAGTATTAATAATGAAAATTGTGAAATATGATTATTTTTTGTATTTGTTATTAGTTATTTATAGAGTACATTTTTGTATGACTAATTCATGCTTAATAAATATGCTAATTTATGTTCAATTTGTTATAATAATAATAATAATAATAATAATAATAATAATAATAATAATTCCTTACATTTATATAGCACCTTTTCTGAACACTCAAATCGCTTTACACATTGGGGGGAATCTCCTCATCCACCACAAGTGTGCAGCATCCACCTGGATGACACGACGGCAGCCATATTGCACCGGACCACACACCACACCAGCTGATTGGTGGAGAGGAGACAGAGTGATAAAGCCAATTATCATATAGGGATGGTTAGGAGGCCAGTGGGCAAATTGGGCCAGGATGCTGGGGTTAAACCCCTATTCTTTTTCGAAGGACATCCTGGGATTTTTAACGACCACAGAGAGTCGGAACGTCGGTTTAACGTCTCATCTGAAAGACTGCGCTCACTGAGCAGTGTAGCGTCCCCATTAATATACTTGGGGCCCACATAGATCGAAGGTTGAGCGCCCCCTGCTGGCCCTTACAAACAAAACTTCTGGCAGCAGTAATGAAAATTGTGATTATTATTATTGTTATTAATTTATTATTATTAGCCATTATGTTTTGTGATGCAAATTGTCAAAAACATTAATAATAATAACTGCTTTTATTATTATTAATATATTATTATTATTATTATTATTATTATTGCTGTTAATGGCAATGTTCTGTGTCTGGATAATAGTAATAATAATGAGAATATTATTTGCAATACTGTAAATAAAATACAATAAGAAATTTATGCAGGTTTTTTGTAATAAAATGAGTGAATAATAATGATAAAAATGTGATGCAAAAGGCTGAATAAGAAGAACAACAGTACAAATATGAAAAATGTATATATAATAATTTATATAAGTAAAATACATTTTCAGATCAAAAATCAGAATCAAATCAGATTTCAATTGAATGTATACAATATACAAATACAACTACTATTTAAATTTATATTAAAAAGTTTTTAAATAAAAAAATGCTGAATAATAATAAAAACAAATTATTATTGTCATCATTATTATTGAAAATGTTAGCAATTTATAGAAAAGTTTTTAAATTAAAACAAATAATTGAATAATAACAAATATAATAATAATAATTATTATTCAATTCAATTCAATTCACCTTTATTTGTATAGCGCGTTTACAATGTAGATTGTGTCAAAGCTGCTTCACATAGAAGATCATAGTAAATAGCTTATCCAAATTTTTGGTCTGACCCGAAGCCCGTCTTTTTTTTTCCACCAAACACCTTCTACTGTTCCAGCCATTAAAATAGACTAGACATGTATTTAATAGAAAGCGTTTTTTGTTTCATTTTAGCAGCATAATTTAGAGAGATGTTTGAATTTTTTTTTTTTTAAATGTAAGTTTTAGTTTTTAAATGACATCCATGTCCAAGCGGTGTGTGGTCCACAGTGAGTTTACTCAATTTAAAGTTGTGCATTGTGCATAACCAGTTGGCTCATCATTTAAAGTTCATTCATTTATTCATTCATTTTCCTTTTGGCTTAGTGCCTTTATTAATCAGGGGTTGCCACAGCAGAATGAACCGACTACTTATCCAGCATATGTTTTACACAGAGGATGCCCTTCCAGCTGCAACCCATCTCTGGGAAACATCCATACACACACTCATTCACACTCATACACTACGGACAATTTAGACTACCCAGTTCACCCATACCACATGTCTTTGGGCTGTAGGGGAAACCATAGCACCTGGAGGAAACCCACGCAAACACAGGAAGAACATGCAAACTCCACACAGAAATGCCAACTGACCCAGCAGAGACTCTAACCAGCAACTTTCTTGCTGTAAGGCAACAGCACTACCTACTGTGCCACCACGTCGCCGTCATTTAAAGTTGTCACTATTTAAAAAGTTGACCAGAAGTTTGCCTTTCCTCTAGCTTTTCATAGTTTTAAGTTTGCCATTGGCAATTTTTCTCTTGATGTTTTCCATCGTAAGTGGCTGGAAATTTCTATGTGTAAGGCATCACTGGCACTTCCTGACTGCACACATTAGATCTCAATAAATTTTTTAGAGGTTTTTTTTTTAAAGCAGGCCTAAAGCCCAATATGCATGCTAGCTATGACATACAAATTGGCCTGAAGACAACAAGTCGGGCCCCAACAGGGATCGGGCTCAAATGCAGGGCTTTAATTATTATTACAATTTTATGCTATAATAATAACAAAAATTCTATAAAAATTGCTAAATAATAATAAATATAATAATAACAACAATAATAATAATAATATAATAAAATATATTATTATAATTGTAATCATTATTATTATTGATATTATTAGCAATTTATAAAATAAGTTTTAAACCAATGTATTAAATTAATTTAATGACTATTATTATTATTATTATTATTATTGATAATATTAGCTATTTATAAAAACGTTAATAATAAAATAATACAATAAATTATTACTAGTGTAATAAATTCATTCATTCATTTATTTTCTTTTCGGCTTAGCACATTTAATAATCAGGGGTCGCCACAGCGGAACCGCAAACTTATTCAGCACATGTTTTTACACAGCGGATGCCCTTCTAGCTGAAATCCATCACTGGGAAACATCCATACACTCCTATTCACACACATACACTACGGAAAATTTAGTTTATTCAATTCATCTGTACCGCATATCTTTGGACTTGTGGGGGAAACCGGAGCACTCGGAGGAAACCCACGCCAACATGGGGAGAACATGCAAACTCCACAGAGAAATGCCAACTGACCCAGCCGAGGCTCGAACCAGTGACCTTCTTGCTGTGAGTCGGCATCGTTACCCACTGCGCCACCGCTTACTAATGTTATCGTTATTATTATTAGCAATTTAGTAGCAATCAGTTGTTAATAAGGTGTGCTGATATAGTGTGTGTGTTGACCTGTGAATGCCGGAGCACTCGATGCAGAGCAGGACGCCCAGGTTAATGCTGGCCCAGCGTGGCTCCGTCTGAGCACAGTCACAGCACTGCTGATTCCCCGGCAGACTGAGGATCCTCTGCAGGATATTCTCTCCTCTGACGCTGCGCTCGCGCGATTCACTCGCTGAGTCTATACTGCTGATGGAGGGAGACGCCGTCCGGTCCAGGCGCTGAAAACACACAGAAAAACAAAGACTCATATCAGCTTTATATGGCAATAATAACAACACCATAGACTAGTCTGAGGCGCTTATGTGAAGCTGTTGTTTTTAACTGGTGAATTAGTGCGAAAGAAAAATAAACAATTGTTTTTGTTCATCTAAAAGGTTCAGATGTCTTCAAATGGTCTTTTAATTCTGTTTACATTGATTTGAGTTAGAACAAACAAACTGCAAAACGGTTATAAAACTTAAAATTAACTGTTAGCTGGAGTTTTATGATTGGATATTATTTTTATAATATTTATAATAATAATAATAATAATAATAATAACAATAATAATAACAATAACAACAATAATAATAATAATAACAGCAATAATAATAAAAAAATAATAACAACAACAACAATATATATTATAAAAAATTATGAATTATACAAATATTCATATTTAATATTTATATTAATATTTATTCATATATATATA